GGGTGCAAGTGTTGTTCATGCGCCTTACTCACCAGAGTGCAACCCTATAGAAAACGTATTTGGAATATGGAAAGTCCGAGTTGGAAAATTGAATAATGTGACTATAGCAGATATGATTGAAAACATCTCAAAGTGTTTTTGATGAAATTAGTCCAATTGAAATAAGACGAATTGTAATGAATTTTATTAATATTGTTTCTGTGAAAGTTTTTGCAATGGAAGATCTTTAACTGGTTTTTAATTTTTTGTGTTTATTGTTTTGAGAATTCAAACACAGTTTTGAAACAAATAATTAAAAATTTGAAACAAAAAAACAAGTTTTTTCAACAATTAGTCATAATTAATGTAAAATAAATCATTTAATGAAACAATTATTCATTAATTTGAAACAATTGTTTTTCTTTTGAAACAATAAATTATTGTTTTGAAACAGTGTTGATTAAAGGTACATTTTTATCATTATTTTGAAACAAAACATTATAATTTTGAAAAAATTATTAAACAAAATGAAACTAACTGTAAAAGTAAAGAAAAAATTATTTGTTATTAAACTTGATTTTATTTTATTTGCTCAAGAAAACTTTTCAAAACCGAAAATTGCCAACGGACAGTTTTACTTTAATCAAATAAAATGTAAATTAAGACTGAATTAAATAAGAGTTGGAGAAAGATGTGTTGAATACGAACACGTAAAACAATTTCATTTTGGACCCCAAAATGTTTAATCACAAAAGAAATCGTCCATTGTGTTTGCGTTTTTTGTGCTATTCAATCATTTTTTCAATTTAAGAATATAACCAGCCCAGTGTTTTGAATCAAGTGTTTGAATGCAATGTATCGTGGCTTTACACTACATTTTGCTTAAAAAATTTGAGTTGAGTCGAATTTATATTCAGAAAAAGTAATTATCATTTAAGATTTTCTTTTTTCTTTGAATTTACACAACAATTTAATTAAATCAATTTCATACTTAAGATATGGAAAATAAATTTCACAAAAAAATAAAAAATAAACATCACAAGGTTAATTAAGTAGATGGCACATGTTGTATTGCATTGAAATTGTTTATGAAGCTTCACATTAACAATCTGTTTGTTTGAACATTTACCACCATTTTACATATATATATATCGTTATTTTTTTACGAACCACAAACAAAAAGAATAGTACATTAGCTTCCACATAAAATTAACAAAATGAGTTAATGACATATAATGAATTAACTGTAGCTAATGATTATTATAGAAAATAATATCCAAATGTGTTATTTTGGTAATACACTTGATTGAAATGAATTGTCCCTTCTCAACCACTGAATGTTTATAATTATAATTATTTTATATGATCGACCTTGTTGATCAAAATCAAAATAAAACATACATAATTTATATTTTTTATTATAAAAAAACAATCAAAAACTTTGAATTGATCTAAATAGTTTGTCTGATTTTATTGCACATTTTTAATTGTTTTGAAATTTGAACAATAATGATGGTTTTGTGATTTAAATTATATGGGCTATAAGGAATGGTTAAATATAATACAATTGTTTATTTGACTTACATAATTTAAACAAAAGGAACAACCAAATTATATAAAAAATACAATTCACAACAATACAAATTATCGAAAACAACTTTAACACTTAAAATAACGCCCTTATTTTTGTTTTGGCCTGTTTTTTTAGGGATATTAATCAAATTTTTGATGGTTTTCCTTTTTTTGACTTGTGTATAGTTTATGCACAAAATACAAACTCTAAAAAACGGAAATTTATATAATAAACTCGAGAGTTCCCCGATTTTTAGACCACTTGAATTTTGTTCAATGTTATTTAAAGTGTTAAAAATGGTTGTTTTCGTTGTTTTTTAAAAAACCATTAATTCTATTTTTATAATTCCAAATTATTATTATAAAATAATATTAATTAATTTAATATTTTAAATGAATACTTTACTCAACCTTTTTATTTATATTTGCAAAACC